TCTGAGATTGTTCTGAGAGGAAGAGAAGCACCAGCAGCTAAGGCCAAAGTTCCGCTTAGTTCTGCACTCAAAGCGAACTCGTGTCCTTCGGGGACGTGCTTTTAATCCACAGAGAAAACAGCTGCTTTGCATCTCAGGGGCTTGTTTTTTCCACAAGGATCATCTTAAGAGGCTGTCAAATGCCATCAGGCTGCCAGACGGGGGCCTTTCACACCTTACCCGCGTCACTTTACCGAGACCCCATTGATAACAGCGAGAAACCTTCTGCAGAAAATGTGTCAGAAGAAATTAAAGCTAGACTTTTCCCTCACCTATTTGACTTTTCTCCACTGTGAATCAGAGGCTGCAGAGAAGACAACCCCCAGCTTCTTGGTTTGACACTGGCACAGATGCCGTCTGCATTCTTTAGCTGATAAAGAGGCACACTGGCTGTTTATGATTCCGACATGGCATTCACCATATTCCCAAAGTTGCTGCACAGGCGCTGCGGTGAAGATAACACGCAGGGCTTCGTCGTTCTCCAAACTGGGACAAACAAGCACTGATAGGCCGCTGAAACAAAACAATTAAGCGGAGCAAAGCGAGCGTTGCTGATACGGTCTGCAGCATTGTTTGTTCTCATTGCTATGACTGAAAATGTGTTGTGTTTTGATTTTGTTTCTGTTGTACTGTGAAGACACTATCAAAAACACCCTGAAAAAAAGGTCAGACAAGGTATCGCCTGTGTCCCTATGTGAGGGGTTCAGCGTTCAGTTCCCATAGGTCTTCACTTCATTGTTTCCAGCCTGTACAGATCGAATACATTTGGATGTTAGAGAGTTCAACTCTCTCTTCTTCACAACTGTTACCAGACCTCTGCAAACATTCCTCCAATCAAGACTGCTTATCTTTATCTGCTAGCTGTTGAAATAATGCGTAAATATTGTTGGAAACCTGAGATTGACACCAAGGCTCAGACTGCAGCTGTCCGGGATGTGATGAAAGACAGATCAGTGTTTTACTCCCCGACTGATTAATTCTATGGTCAGTCCTTCACAAGGCAGAGATAAGTCCTAACACCACAAACAAAGGTCAAAGACTAATCACTACTACACAAATGCCTGTGATGCTATCGGTGTCAGCTCCATACCGTCAGCAAAGCTGAGAGCGTCTGCAGCGAGTCCTTGGGTTTCAGCACCGATAATCAGCGGTGCTGGCTCTCTGCTCGGAAAGTGTGACTCAAACTCTCACTTTGGTGGCCACGGCGAGCAGTCGGATAACAGCTGATGTCTGAACAGAAGCGGGGAGAAATATTGAAAGGCGCCCAAGAAAGATGGTGAAACCAAATTAAATGTTGAGCAGGTGATCCAGATCAGTAAAACGCAGAAGGATGGGATGGAAACGCAAAAACTGAACTTGTTTTATGGCTTCGGGTGGGCTGATGAATTATTCGAGTATGGTTCCACCAACCTTGCTTTTCTTTACAGAACAGCTTAAAACACAGTTTTAATTCCAGCATTACACACGTGCATATGTTCCTGGGTTGAATCTGAGCTGGGGCAGACTCTGTGTATGCGTGGCTCCAAATGCATGCAGATTAGGTCCATTGGGGACCATAGGAGTGTGTGCATGCATTATTGTGTCTTGTTCATGTATGTGAGGCTGTGTGATGGAGTAGAGCTGCCTGTTCAGGGTGTACCCTTCCACTGAACAAATAGCAACTGGGATAGGCTCCGGCCGCCCCCGCACAGGGGAAAAATGTGCTTAAAAAAAGACAAGTGAGACAAAAGAACAAAATTTACAAAAACACACACACATCTGACAGTGCTTGTCAAGAGAGCAAATGGGTTTCTGTTTATACTTAAAGAAAATATGAAGAAAATAGAAGAAGAAATTGCTCTCTGGTGCTGGTGACCAAACACACTTTCCGTAGTGTTCCCTCTATGTTCCGAAAAGGTCACATAAGTTATGGCAGCTTGAAAAATGAGCACAGTGATGGATCAACTCCTGCTCTGCAGCTATGCAGGTGCTGCTTTCTGTTTGATGCCGCTAATACAATGATTAAGTGAGAAGCAGAGCTGGGTAATGTGTCCTGGAGAGCAGGCAGCCAGCTGTGCACTGAACTGAGGATGCTTGTGAGGCTGCGCATGGGGCTGTATGTTGAATGCCTGCATGCGCCAGAGCGACAGAATGACAGGAGACTGAAACCTGACCCCACCTGCTTCTGACCAGCAGGAAATGCAGATTGGCCGAGGCAGAATGTGCAGCTTCCAGCTGTAGCTGCAGTTTTGCCCTTCTTTAACCTGCATACAACATCAGCCCCTCTCATTATGTAGTCTGCACACATGTCAGGGACATACAATGCAAAATTCATTAAAAATTCAATCAAAAAAAAAAAACAACATGAAAATACTGCATCACTAATCCCAATTAAGCCCGTACCACATCATAGAACCAGCGGGAAGGAAAATATGCACCTCTGGAAGGCTTTTCAACAAATTGGCAGTTTCCCCTTTACATCCTTGTTCAGATGTGTCACTCAGCCCGTCACCATGGAGATGGAGACTGTTTCTGTGAGGCTTCTGCTCCAGAGGGCAGGCAGCAGCAGCACAGGCTGACATGGTAAGCCTGGATATGGGATCACAGCCACATCTTCAAACCTAAGCTCCAATTCTCTGAAGCCACCCGTGTGCAGTACTCCATTCCTGCAGTCGCTGAATGCACCTCAAGGTGAGTTTGACTTGAGTCAGAGCAGGAGAACTCTCAACACTCATAGAGAGGAGCCTGGGGAGAAAGTTAGCAGCAGCACGTAAAGGGCAACTGCCACTTCAGATAAGTGTATTAAGTGTGGAGCAAATGGTATCACACCACTGATGCCAGGGGAGGGGGGCTAACAGGTGAGGGGGGTCAACAGCCTAGTCACGCACGTTGGATAAGAAGCATTTATGATAGCAATAAGACATCATTATTCACTGCTTTTAAGACCAAAAACAACACATTTAAAACTGTGTCTTATGCCAGGTTAGTGGGGTTCGTTGTAATTGAGGGGAATGGTTTCAGTGATACACAGGCTTCAAGTTCAGAGGAATTCTTATCAGTTCAATTTAAACTTTAGAAAGTTTTAGTACATATTTGGGGAGAAGGTGGAAACAAGCAACTCGGTCGTTTCCTTACTGTGACATTTTGGACTTGCTCTGTGGTCACTCGGAGGAAGGTCCGCGAACTGCACCCGGTGTCCGGACATGTCGATGCCTCCCGCTCCGCTGCTCCTCTCCGGGTCGATTCAAAGTATCCGGTAACTTCCGAGGAAACGGCCAAAGCTGGGGCAGAGAAAATGCGTCCGGCTCCGTCCGTCCGGCTGGAGGGAAGGCTGTCCACCGGACTCAGCGGTCAGCGGTCAGCTGTCCGGCGAAAACTGGCTGCTCGGACTGCGGGAGGCAGCCTTGCTCAGTCCCCTCTCACCTGCCCTTTTTTTTTTTTTCTTCTCTCGAGTCTGTCAAGTTAGCGAGCGGCACGAGGCAGTCGGAGGCAGGGGAAGCTCGTTCCTCCTCCCGCTTTCCAGAAAAGGATTTAAAAAACTTTTCTCCGCGGTGCATCTGACTGCAGCGTGACGTCACCTCTGTGAAGCTTTCACGGAAAGATAATTAACAACACCATAACCCTAACCCTAACCCTAGCCTGTCACCCACAGAAACGAGGTGTCCTAACAGTCCCCAAACTGCATGCTATCTACCCACCGAGCCTGTATCAAAACGTCCAATAACGCGGTGAAAAGTGCCTGTTTAATTTATTTCAAACTATAATAAACAGCTCTCCCCGTTCTCTCATCGCTATGCTAAAGTAGCTAATCCTAAAGCTAACATTTTCTTTAAAAAAATTAAATGAATGAAAGTTTGTCGTCACTCTGCTGTGTACTTTTATCTAATAGTCCCATGTCATAATCCGTTTGCTGCAACGTAATTAGCTGGGAACATTTTGGGTCCTACAGCGCCACCTGGTGGAGAGAAGGCAGACGAACTAGGCCTCCTGGAGGACTGAGGCACGAAAGATTTGAACTTCAAATCTTTCAAGTAACGAAGACTGTGGTGAATGTGATGAACTTTACAGAAACAAAGTCGTTTTTTTCTTTGAGGGTTGTAAGAAATCTAGTTAGATGTCAAATAGTGATCACTGCTGTAAGATGAAGGTGCTATTTGAAGCATTCTGATAAAAACAAATGAGCCTCCACATCGTATCTGAAAAACATCTAGTAATCTTTTAAAAGAGAATGTATTGCAGTTGTCTGTTTTAGACAAAAGTCAAACCAACTAAAGGTGACATACTGAATAAGAATTACACTGAAACTCCTGGTTTACTCGTACTAAGACTTCCCTTTCCTTTTAAGCATCAGTAGTTGATTTTTTTTAATGTGTCTGGTCAACAATCTCACGCAAAATAAATCCATAAATCATCGGAACAGCTACAGATAGAGCAGCTGTAGCAGTGTTTCTATTGAGAAAAGAGTCACTTAACACACTTAGTTTCAAAACTTTATTTCTAAAATATTTTCTAAAACACATAAAAAGAACCGGAATACATGAAAAAGACCAAGACAACAGTGAAAACTCTCCAAACTAGTCTGGCGGGACTTCTGTGCAAAAGAGAGTAGCTAAACAGACATCACACGATGCCGACGGCTTGAAAAGGCAAAGCAGGTTTCTGTAAATTCAAAAATATTTGGCAACTGCCAACAAGAGCTTCAGAAAAATATCTTGCCTACCAAAAAAGGAGGAAATAAATACTGTGTACTCCGAAAGATCTCACATCATGCCAACATAACCCAAACCATCAAGAAAATCAGCCTCACACCCTTTCAACCCCTAACATGTCATTTCTGGTACATAAAAAAACAAAGTATGTGCACTGCACTTCACTTAGAATAGAAATCTTATAAAAAATAATTTATAGCAAGTAAAAACCAAGCAGAGACAGCATCTCTGCGCTCCTCTGGAACAAAATACATCCATTTTCAAACTGCATCTTTACATGGAACCATTTTGTTCTATGTACATCTTGGACAACGAGGCAGCCATGGACTTTGCCAGCTCCTCGTCTCGCTTCCGCTGCATCTGTGAGTGACGGCACCAGTCCTCATGCTCCGGATTGGGGAAACACCTGTCCAGGATGACATCATAGTGCCCGTTGCTGAGCCAACTCAGCCAGATAGCCGGCTTGGAAGAATCCTCCTCCCCCAGATAGTGCACCATGGTGGAGACGGTGGGACTCTCGGAGCTGCCGCCGGTGGTGAGGTGAATGTTGACGTTCAGCATCTGGCTCATGGCGAGGAGCTCGGGATAGCCAGCCCAGGCGCCGTCCTGCGCCGCGTTGATCAGGAACTCCCCCACGTCTCCCTCGATGATGGGGTTGAACTCGTCCAGGTGGTCGGCGATGTGGTGCACGGTCTGCTCCCGCAGCTCCCCGTGTTTGGACTGGTCCCCGTACGTGGCTTTGCACACAGCTCTGTACAGACAGTTTCCGTCGGGAATGATGTGGTACCTGTACCTCTGTCTCTCCTGGAGGTACTTGTTCTGCTTCTCTACCTCAGCCAGGTACCGGGTGACTTTGTTGCTGAGGTCCCTCTTCTCTTGGAATCCTTGAGGGGGAGACTCCTGCAGGACGCTGAGCTCAAAGGCTCGCCTGTCATTTGATGCTGGGAGAGCTCTGACACTGGTCACATCACTAGAATCTTCCTTTTTGAAGTCGGTTGGCTGAGTTGATCTGGGGGGAACTAATTCCTCTTCATGTAGTGAGGCCCACCCATTACTTCTGCGGGGGGAATTGGTCTGTGGAGCTGCTTCATCCTCACATGAATTTCTCATTGTTAGTCTATGGTTTTCTTCTGCTGCTGGTCCAATGATGTTTTTCTTCACACGGCCGTGGTTCTCAACTAATTCTTGGCAATCAGGGAAAAGCTCATCTGTCCCATTCCTCAGATGGTCTAACAAGTCCACCATCACATCCGAATCACAGTCACTGCGGAGAGTATCTACATCGTTGTGTGGATGAGGAGAGGGGGGTTTGGCTTTGGATTCCCGAACGATGTGGACGGGAACAGACCTCTCCACTCCATCGGGTCTGCGGATCAATATCTCAGCAGTCGATGTGAAGTAAACTGGTCTCAGGGGTGAGGCTTCGTAACACGAAAAGGCAGGCATGTTTGCGGAAGACGCAGTCTCTTTCGCCGGATCACCACCGTTGGTCGCTGGAGTTGAGTCAAGTGGAGTGGATCCCGGTTTCTCGGCCTCAGAGGAACTTTGGGCTGTCCCGTTCAAGCGCTCGGAGGCGGCCGACAAAGTTATAGTAACTTTGCGAGACGACCTCGGGTAGTGTGTGAGCACACTGTTGTACAGCTGCATTTTCCTACAGTCCTTTATACTGAACGCAGCCGCCGGGCCGTTACGAAAAGATGACAACAACAGCTAAAAATACCCCCCATGTGATCCACAACAGCAGAGTTGTAGTGAACGTTTCCATGGCCGTGCGTCCCGTTATCATTGACACACGGAGACGACAAGACTGTCCAGTTTAGTCTTCTTGCGTCATTTGGAGTTGGGGTGCCTCCCTAAATTTAGACCACCAGCTGTAATCAGACTCTTCCAGACCAGCAAAGTCAGATAAAATGACATCGGCGTAACTTCCGTTCAAATTATTTCAAAGTATAATTCACTGCTCGTTTGAATTATTTCAGACGAGCTATGTGCTTTAACCAAAATCAATTCAAACGTCTTTAACATTCTTCTAAATTGATTTATTTAATATATTTCATTAATGCTCAAGTTTCAGGGATCTTAGTCAGAAACTGAAAATGTGAATCTCTTGAAAGCTTCATGTGTTTACAAACCGTTCAGTGGAACTCGACACTGAAGATATTATCATACTAAATCCTGGTTCTGAGTAAGCAATATGACGTAGGTAAACATAAGATGAAGTGATTACTTTGGTTTATATTCACTTCAGAGATTTATAAAAGACAATGCTATTGGTCAATTGAGTTAATTCAGGTTAAACACTAAAACAAAGAAATGTTTTGTGAGTGTGTGTGTTCCAAAACACTTAAAAACGCAATCTAAAACATGGACTACGCAGTGAAAGAGTGCTTTATTCTGAAGGGATTACGTCTCGTTTCCGGTGCCGCTTTCTGGTCCTCTGTGGTGCATCTCTCAGCTGCTAATGCTACGGCTGTAAACCAGCTTTTATTTACGGTCTGTGGCTCTTGCTGAAGCCGTTCAGGATGCCTCTCGGATCCAACAAGTTAAGTGCTAACGACCAAACAGCACGGGGCAGGTTTTCTCAGTGTAACGTGTTATTAACTCCTCCTCTACGAGTTTGCGAGAATTTATTTACGAACATGTAAACATCCCATCCATCCAATGATGAGTTAAACTCGCATTGATTGCCATGTTTTTGAAAGTTATGAAAAATGAATAAAGAATAGTATGTTTTTATGTGAAAGGGCTAATATAACAACACATGACATCATTTGAACTCAAACAAAATTAAACTAAAACAAATGTCATTTTTATAAACAATGTCAAAAAACATAATTGCATTTCTTTGCCTGGATAGCTGAAAGGCAATAGCAGGCTCTGGCATACCAAACATGCTCATGTATCTATTTTTACCAGTTTGTTAGACTGTTTGACTATGAGCAGTTTGTTTTGAATGTGGTTTCTTAATGTAGGCATATATAGCCCTTACCTCATTGGAGTCGTTTTGCACTGTAGCAGAATCTGTATCCAAGTCTCAAAGAACAACACTAAGCAGTGTGATTGTGGTGTGTTTTGTGAGAGAAGGGTGATTTGCTAGGGGGTCTCAAACTACCGCGGCGTGAAATGGAAATCTATATATTTATGACCTATGAAAGTATTTTCTATTTAATTACTGCCCTGAACACCAACTCCCTCTCGTAAGAAAGCAGATATTACAGCATTGGCCACCAGAGGGAGCCCGAGGACTGCTTGTCCTCTGGGTTGTGATGCGTTCAATTGCAGTACCTGGTGTCGACGCTAGTGGGCGACATGCCTCAATGAAAGGGAACCGAACGTTTGTTTTGAACAAATACACACACACACAGACGATGCTTCAGCAGCTGTCGCAAGGTTGTGTACTGCATACAAATGAGGGCATTGATCGCTCCCCTTACCGTACTGTTGTTGTGTTTAATCGGCTGGACTAGTGTACTAACGTCCAGCTGCTGCCAGGCTAGGTCATTGTGCCACCATTACACCCATATTGTATTTGTCTAAAAAGTAGAACACACTGTACACGACAATATTATTATTATTGACGACTACATGATACTGAATGCACAATAAGAACGGTGAGGTTGGGTTTCTGTAGCAACAGAATCCCACTTGAAACAAAACAATTAGGCTACAATATGTGTATGTTGTGTAATGGGTTATGGGCGGTTGTAATGCGGTCAAGAGCGCCCTTAATATGTCAATTAGATCCAAAAAAAAGAAGACGTTTCGTCTTCGTTGTACTTCTTTAAGAGTACAACATGGACACACTACTCCCACATATACAAAGCCTCGAGCAGTGGTGTGGTTAAAACCACGAGGTCCGCAGTGCTCCGCCATCCTCTTGTTGTTTTTGTTGTCATCCCTAAGGCCCGCCAAAACCCGGGCTTTTCCCGCACATCGGGATGAGTTCGCGTGGCTTTTTCAGACAACGTGCCGCAGTTAAAGCTTAACGCGGCGTAACCATGTCAGTAGAACGAGCCACGCTGATGTCAGAGATTTGCTCCCCTGCTCTCCGTGGTGGGAGGATCTCTGGTGCGTTGAGTCACGCAGCTGTCAAAGATAGCTGTCACCCAGTTTCAGGATCAAACACACACACAGTCAATGAGGAAAGGGCTTTGAGCAGAAGGGACGCAGAGGTCTCAGGTAGCCCCCCCACCCCCTCAGCGAGGCTTCGACTAAAGGACGAAAAGACGAGATTAATAATTAGGTGGAGAAAGGCAGAAAAAAAATTCCCAAAACGGACAAGTAACGACTTTTGATGAATAAGGATTTTTGCACCCAAGCGGAGGGGGGATATCCAGAGAGAAGAAGGCAAAGAGCACGACAACAAATTTTCCTCTCCGCTTGACGAACAACCGGTGGGCATTTTCGGACGGAGATGAAGACGAAAAAGGGTAAGTGGGAGGCTTTGTAGGATAACGAAGTTAAAAACAAGCCAGCGTAGAGGACGTTTAACAGAGCTATTTGCCTCATATGCAAACCACGCAGCCTATTGTTTCCTTTCCAGACATGACAGGGGGCTTTTTTCCTGCCATGTGCTGGCGCAGTGTCAAAAGTCGATATGGCTGTTTTCAACCAACATTTGAGATTAGCCAAAAACGTTTTGTGCGAGTTTTGGTTCGATAACGTATGGCTGCGTCGAAGCGTGTGTCTTTCCCAAAGCCACGGTGGTATTTACTGAACTTCAGCCCGTTTACAACATCAAACAAATCAAAAGACTGAGGGAGGTCTAACTTACGTGGCGGACGCTACATTTGTGACAAAGGGACCGAGTCATGATCCAAAGCAAAGTTGGGTAATTGTTGCGAGCGCGTGGGTTTTGGGAAATTTTCAAAACGCGCGAGCTCGAAAGCAATCGACGTGTTTTTATCTTCTGACTGAGCACGTCGATGTGTAACACCTCCAGTGCCCTTAAGTTTGATTGAAATCCAAATGTAGGCTAATGTTCATCCTGACCTCATTGTGGGAAGTTGCTGTCGCCTTGTTCACGGACCTCGTGGTGCAGCGCGCACACACACACAATGGAAGCCCTCTTACAAGTTGTTTTAAACTTACAAAACCTTCGCCTTCTTTGTGCTAGGGCGGCTCTTTGCTCAGTCTTTGAGCCTGCGGTGTTTCTGAAGTTGAAAAGTTTGCGGGGAAATGGCCATTTGCGTGAGGAAACTTTTAAATTGCATACAAAGAAGCACGCAGCTTCGGGTTCTTTTGTTTAGTCTGGAGACGCTGATTTGCAACAGGTCTCCCCTCCCCCTTCCCCTCTCTCCAGCCTACGTAATTACCTCATCCTGTTGGCTGCTCAGACTTGGGAACTTTCTTGCTCTCTTCCCTTCCAGCTTGCAGGCTGTATATACTTACAGATTAAATATCCACTTATTGTTATGGGGCCTATGGGGGTCTACATAGAACCCTGCTGGTGGTCTGATGTGAAGGTTCCTAAATGGGGGATAAAGTACACTGTCCGTGTCCCAGAAATACACAAGGTGGGCTGGTTGTACACATGTTCTGTCTGGCTGGGTCAGTCTGTTGGACAGCAGCCCAAAGCCGGACCTAAGGAAAAAAAAATCAGGTTAAACATGGAGTTTTAAAATGATTCCAGAGGCTCAGACCCTGCTTAATAAAGTCTGTAATCTTTGTCAGTCCACAGCTGCTGGTGCCCTGAATCTGCCTTTTTCCAGAATGAGCGCTCCTGCGCTTTTAAGTGTGCTTTGTGTTTGTTGAGGCAGGTTTTATAACTGACACCGCATCAGAGCAGTCTTTGTGACGTCCCCCCTCCCTTTTTCTCCCCTCCGCCTCCTCCTCACGCCCTCCTTAGCTGCTTATATGAATCACATGGCTGAACTTGACAGCTTGCTTCTGACACATCAGCTGCCTCCCAGACAGCCTGCATTTGGCTGCGGCAGAGCGGCTGGGAGACTGATAACAGGCTAGCTGACCTTAAGAGGATCTTCTTTGTGCCACGCTCACCGCTTTTCCTGTGCAGGTCTGATGATGCTGTCGGGGAGCGAGACCGACGACGAGGACAGTGTGGACACCCCCCTGGATCTGTCCAGCGCGGGGAGCAACGGAAAGAGGAAACGGCGAGGGAACCTGCCCAAAGAGTCTGTTCAGATCCTCAGGGACTGGCTGTATGAACACCGTTACAACGCTTACCCCTCTGAACAAGAGAAAGCCCTTCTTTCCAAGCAGACTCAGCTCTCTACATTGCAGGTATGGACTCAGACAGAGCAGAGAAGGTGATTGCTTAAACTTTTGCTGCTCGTAAAAGCTAGGACTGTAAACAGACCACTGTAAAAGTCAAGAGGAAACAAGTGTGAGCTTGACTGAATCATTTCCTGTCTAGATGGCAAACAAAACATGACACATCAACAGTGAATTGAAGGTCATCCAAGCCAGCTTGACGTTGCAGCTCAAGTATATGAGGCAACGTGAGTAAACTCACTCCCCGAGTGCTGTGGGCTTGGCTGAGACACACGAACAGGAATTTCCCTCCCTCCAGCCTCTTTCCATCCCAGCTGTCTGGGAACAATGCAGAGTCATTTACATAGTTAGAGCTATAAGCCTCACTGAACCAGTTACGACTAGCCTGGAGGAGTGAGAGAAGAAAGATGGGAGATGACTATAGTTAGTGCTTTGACAAAGGACATTAGTTCTTACTGAGAGTTTCTTTTTTGTTTTAGTTTTTTTTTTTTAAATACAGGATTAAGACTTTAAATGTGGACTTTGTCAGAGAAGTTGATATTCAGCTCAGAGATCTTTGCATTTCTGCAGTGCTGAAATGATCAAGACAGGATGGTGTGAAATGTCAGCAAGTAAAAGATATGATTTGCCCTTTCGGTTTCATATCCCTGGTGAGCAAACAGCACCTGGAGACGGGTGCTCCCGCAGAGCCCCGGCAGAACCCCAGTGAGCAGAGGGAGCGCTTTTCTCTCACACCTTCCCTTCTGTTGTTGTGCTGTCCAGGTGTGCAACTGGTTCATAAACGCAAGGCGGCGACTGCTCCCAGAGATGCTGAGGAAAGATGGCAAAGACCCCAACCAGTTCACCATCTCCAGGAAAGGGAGCAAGGCCGGCGAAAGCTTCTCTGACAGCTCGCAGTCCCCGAAACACAGCAGTCCGGCTGCGGGCGCCGACGAGAGCTGCGACAGACGCGCGCTCCACCCGTCCAGCTTTGAGCCCGCCGTGCACGGCGTCCTGAGGAAGGCCGCGTCGCCCTCCCTACCCTCGCCGACATCCACGTCGCCCTCTCCGGGGCCCGTGCCCACGCGGCCATCTGTCATCTGTCACACCACTGTCAGCGCGGCCATGCAGGCCAGCCCGACAGCCTCTCAGCCGCCAGTGCCAGGAATGAACTGCGACAGGGCAGCGGAGCTGCTGCAGTCCGTGCAGGCCCAGGCTCTGCTCAGGTGCCGGGAAGAGGGGCGAGGCAGCCAGCTGCTCCCCACCACCACCACCACCACCATCCTGGGCGGCAGCAGCATGGAGGGCAACCTGAGCCCCCGCAGCGGCCTGTTCAACACTCCACCTCCCACTCCTCCAGACCTCACACAAGACTTCAGCGGCTTCCAGCTCCTGGTGGATGTGGCCCTCAAACGGGCCGCTGAGATGGAGCTGCAGGCCAAACAGCTGGTTTCCTAAAGGAGAAACTGACAGGAGAGGAGGGAACAGAGACTGACTTTTTGTCTCAACTGTGGAATTCTTCAGTTCGGTGACTCATCTGCACGTAACAGAGAACAAATCCACATGAAAGCCTGATCATTTCTATTTTTGGTATACCAATCAATATGATGAGGATGTTTTTTAATTGAAAAAAAAACTGTATCAAGGTGCCTTGGCTGTAAGTTGTTTAGTCATTTCATATACATGCGTATGTATCTACATGTGTATTTTATTTGCACACAGGGACCAAAAATTATCAAAGAAATGCTGCCTGTCTTTACGTCTTTCCAATGTACTGAATATCATTCTAGGGAACTGAGCAAGAGCTAGATTTGGTCAAACGAATGGGTCACATTCCCAGGTTTCTCTGGTTTAACATTTCAAAGATGAGTTCATGATTGGTCTGCCTCATTTGTTTGCACACTAAAGGCAGCAGAAGGTCATCTCAGTGTCTTAAACATACTTTGCTCCTGATATCAACAACAAACTTATTCACTACTGTAGTAAACATTTAAGTGTTTTCATGAGTATAGTTTTGATTTTGTAATTTACTTTTAGCTGTTTTAAAAGGAGAAAAAAAAAGTTTTTCTTTTTACTGTTATTTTCCCACCAAGGGATTCTTCAGATGACCAATGTAGCAGGTTCTTAGACTTGAGCCTTTCACCCCTTCACTCAGCGAAAATGACGGCCAGTGGACTGGAAAATGAAACACTACAAATGTCTTTCTCTGCATCGGCTGTTTTACACTTGACATAGACAGCTTTTTTTTAAATCACCAAAAACAAGCATTTTCATGTATAATAGGACCATGTGTATAGTCAGTGTGACACGATGCCCAATGATGTGATTTCTTTTCATACTGTGCAATGTTTGTGGCAAATAGGGGTCACATGGGATTCAAATAAAGTTTTGTTTTTTTCTACATGTCATTGTTAGTCATTTTATTGACATTTTTATCCCACATACCCAGCCAGTATTATTGTATATGCCCCTTAACTTTGTGAAGATTACAACCTTATCCCTAAGGATAAATGGAGAGTCTTTAGATGGACTGTTCAGTAAGTTAAAACACACAGAAGCACAGGAGCAGTATGGCACTCATGTCTCTCCACAGGCATTCAGAAGCATTCCTGGGTGTGAAAGGTTTACAACAGCTCCTGCAAATTAGCATAATCCTGCATAAATTAACACAGGGAAATGGCAGACGTCAACCGTTTTGTGCCAGTGGGGGTTGATGTTTGTCTACATCTCAATGGCCTAGAACAGAGGCTGGAGGCGAGGCGGACAGCTGTTCCATTCTGGTCCCGCTGCCGTCTTAGAGATTCTCTACCGGCCTCAGCAGCACTTCTTTCATTTGCAGACTGGCGCTCTTTCATTTATTGAATTGTTTTCTCAGCTAAACATAAAAAAACAAATCTATTTCTCTTGGAAGTTATTTGCTGATGTTCGTTGATCATTTCGGAACAAAGTGCTCCAGTTTAGACTGAAATTCGTAAACATATTTAAGGTGCTTTTATATTTAAACTGTCTTCACTTAAACTCTGCTGCATTTAGGGGGGATGTGTTTTACTTTCCATAGGGACAGTATTAGCATAATGTCACAAGGGCATGATGGTACAAACCCATGTCATTTATTTTTAAAACTTGCTTTTACAATGTGCTTTGTATTTATGGATACTTCAGAATTTTTAAGTATTGCATCGGTGATTAAAATGTTTGCGCAAAAGCCAAGTATTCTGTTGAAAATTGCTGCCTTTTATTGACAGCTGGGCTGTCAATAAAATATGCCCTACGGATAAATAGCAAAAAACAAAAGCTCAGAAAGCATTTTCAGTTTACCATCTATTGCCTCTTGCTTCAGGTAAAAAATGACAGAAATTGTGGTTTGAGGGTCAAGTCTAATTTCAGTGATGCAATCACTTGTTAAGTGTTTAAATATACCTTTAGGCACTTAGTAGGCATCTGTAGCCCACCAAAGTAGACCATCTAATGGGTCGACATACCCAGGACCAAGCTGTATAGAAAGACAACACCCCTATCACCATCACTGCACACCCCATAACCCCAACAGCCGCTGTGGACAGCAGTGTGAATGATGTTTGAGTGACAAATCACCAGAAGCTGCATGTACAGCAGCATCAAGGCTAAGCCACGGCCAAAAGTGCTGTCTAATTATGGGGATCTGCCCCTGCGGAAGGGAAACGCCCTAAAAGCACAACACACTGGCCTTGTAATCTGTTTAATTATAATCCAATTCAAAACACATGTGGAGAAGGGAAAGAAGTGAATGCAACAAAATTGTGGCAATGATCTTTTTTTTTAATGCTGATAAGAGCTCATACAGGTGCCATAACATCAACAGTGTAATACCATTAATTACAAAATGTTTATCTGCTTAATATGTCATTTGTGTTTTAAGTTTACACAGGGAAACATTCATTTATGTACAAATATTTATCTGAATATTTTTCTCTTTGTATAACTACATCACAAGCTTTAGAACTCCCAGGATTGCTAGAGTGTCCACAATCCAACATTCTGGTTTTCTAACTCCCTGCTATACTTGGAGTGTTATATTGATATGTTAATATAATAAACATAAATAGAGAATTGATTATTTGATAGACGATTCAATGCAAATACAAGTTCCAAAGTAAAAATACTAAAGTTAGCTTAATCTACATAAAATGGCAATAAGTTTTTCCTAGTGTTGTATGGACTCCCTTTTATTGAGCAGCTGAGAAGGAAATTCAAAATCAGGTTGTACGGTAACGTGATTTTTCTCTTCTACAAATGAACATCTCTTAATTAAAATTTCAGGTAGCGGTTCAATTAAGGACAAATAGCAGGATAAGCTGAATTCTTGCTTATCCAATGGCACGAAACTCGTAGAGATCAATACAGAGTTGAAATACACAGAAACGTCCTGGTGCTCTGTTATCAAAACAACAATGTGAACGTAAACCGGATTAGGATTGTCTCCACATTCAAGCAGCTGACAGAAATACCTTGTTACACTGAAGAGAGTAGGGCTGAGATGTCCAACAGGAGCATCATCAAGAAGATGGCATGGACACTTTTTCCTTTACTTAGGAACATGGCCTATCCTGACGGCAGGAATTATTTACAGTAAGAGACAAAAGTCATGGGTCACATACAGTCACATCAGGTCAGACACACTCAGTCTCACACACACAAACACACGCTCAACATGCTTCCTCCCCTGAGACTGCTGTTGTGCTCGACTATCGTTTCAGAAATTAAGGCTGATCACTGAAACAGAAAAGACAAAAAGGTGTCTGTCATGCTAAAGGACCCATAAATAAAACACAAACACAGTATAAGGGCCTTCTTGTCAGTGCATAATAATAACAATAAGGATAATAAAAACAATAATCACAATGTCAATAAACAGTCATTGTTCTCCTAATTAATAAATTAAACACAAATACAAAATATTAGAAATAGGATTATACTGTATGACCTTCAATAATTGCTTCATTTGGAGGCAGCGATAGTGCACACACAGTGACAATAGTCTCTTTTCAGTCCTGTAGTCTTAATACTGTCCATAAACCTTTCTTAAAAATTACATAATAAAATATAGAACAACTACCAGTATTGTACCAAATATCAGTATTATAGCTTAGTCTGTTACATAGAGGAGATTGATCGTAACATGAGTTAGGAATAAGTGCGTTACAAAAGACAAAAATATGTGTCAGCATGCAAGTCAGCAAGTCATGTCTCTATAATGTAAATGTCCTTTATACAAACATGAGACAAGATGGTTGGTTTGTTTCCAGCTTGTCGATACTGCTACCTTATCTGTCAGTTACAACCTGATCCATTAGGACCAAGAAAAATAGGAAGCACTTTTTAAAATCTGAATTTGAACACACATACGCATATACTGCACACTCTTTCTGTCACGCATACACGCAAATTAAGTTTGTGGCATCTATTCGGTGATTTTCACCCTTTTTACAGGCCAATAATATGCTCTTGACTCAGCAGCCTCTCTGCCTCACCTGGAGAAGAAAGAAATCTAAGCTATCAGCTTGATCCGTACGATCGGCCTTGTGATCCTTTTTCAGACAGATGGCTTGCTATGTCACCAGCTGACACTAAAACAGCCTCACCTGGGAATTTAAACAACACGTCGAAGTTTTTTTTCTCATTATTATAAAATATGAAATTATCCAATGAGATTATAGTCTTTTAAGAATTAGATACATATTTCTTGTGAAGCATCATCGCTGTGCTACACCAGGCTTACTTGTAATAACAGGCCACTTTAAAGAAACAGATTAGTTAGATACGTCTTTAGGCGTGAGGGACAGGTGGAGGTATAAGGAAAAGAGGGATTGCTACATAAAAGCTGGGAAAAGGAAATTAAGGTGAGGGGTAGACAAATAAATAAATAAATACTATAAATGTAAATTTCTTGTTCAAATGGCTTTGGAGGTGAATGACCCCACAGTGATCTGAAAAGTCTTCAAAAAAGGTGAATATGTTACATTAGCACCCTAGCCTTTCCATTCAGTGCTACTGTGTTCATGGTACAGAGTACAGTATTACACTTGTGTGGGTATATGGGTTTATGTGTGTCTCATAGTCTGGTCTGAGCCTCAGGAATATAGATCTCGATACTGTCTGCACTCTCAGTAGCTGAGCTCTGCCGCACCGACGCGGCACGTTTGGCTGCTAGCAGACGTTTGCGAGCCTCCAAACGTTGGCGCTCTGAGCTCTCCAGTGAGCGGTCCCTAGCCAGGGGTGGGTGGCCTTTCAGGGGCTTCTTTGGCACAGGAGGGGGCATCCTTCTCTCCTGGACAGAGATGACAAAAAGTCTTAAGGACGGACCGTTGAGTCCTCAGGGCAGGCAAAAGCTAAACACAGTGACGAGCAACACAACTGCTGCAGGTTAGATAGAGAAGTTGCCAGCGTAGTGTGGGAGCATGCAATTTTTAATGAGGTTATGGTTCTCAGCGGCAGCCACTTGTGCAGGGTAATATAGCACGACGGTGGCCTTTGCGTGAGGTAAGAGGCCATTGGAGATGGACAGGCTCCAACGGTGCATGGCAGGTAGAGTAGCTTCTCAAAAGCAGCTCACTGTCAACAAGACAGAACAAAACACACAATACAAGCAGCAGCGTCAGGCAAGCAACACAACAGCGTACAACAAATATTTTCATGCTACAAATAAGCTCAGCTGTGAATCATTTGGACTCACAGTAAACAGTACACATATATGACAGCAGATATCATGCAGGTAAGTGCAGCATTCCACGTCAATGTTAAATAGTGTGACCATTTCAAATGAGCTCTGTCTCGTATCTGCCACGTCATTCTGCACCTGCGTTTCTGGGGGGGTCAGAGGTTTCCAGTTGTTGGCTTTGAGTTGGTGGAGTTCATCAAACTTCAGGCTAATGTTCTCAATGGACAGCTGGAGCATGTCCCAGAAACCTGCCAGGTCCTGAGAGATGGGCCGTGGGTTTGCATTTGGGTTCTGATACACACATGAAAAAAGCATACAAACACAGACTGCTTATATGCTGATTCCCTATTTTTTGAAAATAGGTTGTCATTTATAAGATCATCCTTTCTAAAGTAAGTTGAACATAATTCATTTGATAAAAGCATATGAGTGATTATTGGACTTTTATCCCGTACATCCCTTTAACTTATAATTAATTATCTTTGTTTTTTGATCATACAATGTACTATCAAAAAGTGTGACACCATCTAGAAATACATCTGATAACTTAAATATTGATTATCATCCCAGAGCACAATTTTAACAGCTGATCTTATTGTAAATTAAAGAGTTGATAAGGAAACAAAGGGTTTGGTATTTTGACTTGTGTAAAAATGAATGTATTGGTGTCTGAATGAAATTATTTTCAGGCTCCATCTTCCACTCCCTAAGATCTGATTCCGGTAGTGAAAGATGGCAAAGATTTGATATTCATTCTATACTAGATGCACAGTAAATGACTGCTAGCCTGGCCTGTCAGCATGATTTGTGCAGGATGATGTCAGCGTTGGTGGGGTGGGGGTGGGGAGCATGCAGAGGATGAGGTGACACATACCAGATTCTCCTCACACAGCTCCCGAAACTGCTGGAACTTCTGGGACATCAGCAGCTGGGCACTCCCCACTGCACTGCGGATCTTCCCCAGGACTGCAGAAAGACACAGACGCACATGTATGCACACACACACACACACACACACAAGCAGTCCACAATGCAATTACTCACAGACTGCATACTGCAGGCATGTTGCACCATTCACAGACGGAGCTGCATTAGTAATGCAACAATGAGGGATGTGCTAGAATCATCTTTTTGCTGTGTCCTTAAGGAACAGCTAACATTCACGGAAATTAAGCATTTACTGAAATTCTATACTGATCACCAAATCTAAACATTAACCAATAAATGGACAAAAATGTCTAAATAACAGTACGTATAGATATGTAGGTTTGAAAAATTCAGGGTCTGATCCAAAGGATGATATTTAAAATAACAAATGCTGCAGTGACCTGATTCTACCATGAAGTGCAACTGGCTCATATATCCCAATGGAGACTAACTGCAAATGCATATATCACACCACATGAAGCTTTTGGAACCAGAAACTGAGAGGGGGAGTAATGAATCTGCACAAGTCCTCAGCCCCCTCAGGATGTGCGTGCATGTGTGTGTGTGTGTGTGTGTGTGTGTGAATGTGGTAGCATGGAATCTGGGAAAACATAACCTTGAGACACCCTCCCTGTTCTCTCTGTTCCATGTGAGAATCTCTTGCCTGGAACCAAAACATTAGCTGCATAAGCAATGACATTTTCAGTAAAACATTAAATCAGCTGCATATTTAAGAACAGGTATAAATACAGTTGCCACTGCCAAAGGCTTGTTTGTACAGTCTGGTTTGACCATGTGAGTGTGTGAATGTAACACACTTTTAGACATAAGCTTTCTGTTCATGTGTTCCTTCAAGATCAAATAGGTACCTCGATGGAGCACTAAGCGAACTCTGTGAAAGATCATTATACAGTGTACGGGATACATGTGTGGCTGGAGCCAGCAGTGGCCCATTGATAAGTATGCACGGTATGTCTGTGGAGGCCACAGGGCCTGAGATAAAAACAAGCAGCTATTGTGGTCCAATACCACGAATACCATCATCCCCTCTGAACTGAATGGGGAGGATAAAATAGAACTAATATTACCCCATAACAGATATTCTTGTCTTCATATGGAATTAAATCCTATCCAACTCACTTTCATCTGGCAGCTCATTCTCAACCTCATCCTGTTCCATCTGTCTGCACCAGCCTTCCATACGTTCTGTCTCAGCCTGCAGCAATTTAAGGAACCAGCGGCCATCGCGGGGGCACACCAATCGGCAGACAGTCTCCAGAGGCTCCGCCTCTGGCTCAGGTGCACTGTCCATCCAAGGGTCTGGAGGAGGCAGGATTGATGGGTCAAAGCCCACCTCCCCGTAGTCGTCCCCAGCACAAGCATGGTAATGGTTCCCAGAGCCTTGGATGCTGACAGTGGAAGTGGCGGCATCACGAGAGTGCTGGCGTGGCATGGTGGCGCAGTGACGGGGGGGCAGCTCTGGGATATCTGTAGATTCATCAAGATCTGCCTGGACAGCTGTGGTTACACTGTTGGAGCGGGTCATCCTGCGGTGACTGGAAAAGGATACGAAAACAAGTTAGATGTTAATGATATTATTTCATTTTGGTTGATTTTCTTTTAGGTATTGCAAATATAATCTACACTTGGAGGTGCTCCTAAGAGTGAAAAACTAAAATCAGGATCACAGCGATCATAACACTGATAGTGACGAATCGCTTTTGTAGAGTGGAACATCCTTTGTGTGTGTGTTTTGTCACCTGGCTCATTCAGACTCAATAGTGTGCAATCACCTGTCACATCACAAGCCCAGCTCTGGGGCTGAGGCCCAAACCATTCACACACCTGGGACCCTGAAGCGTAATATTTGCCTCAAAGGCTTTGTGTTGCCGTCCACACTGTGCTGAACAGCAGCCGCATACACACACACAAATGCAAAGAGTAAATCAACACACACATAGTTGTCTAGGTTTGGTGGATAATGAATGGGGAAAGAAGGTTTCGCGTAATTTAAGGTGGAACAGTGCACAGTAAGGTGCTCCAAGACCCAACAATCAACATTTGTCAACACAAAAAACTTTAATTTTTCATTTAGACACATTACAAACAGGCAATATTCTCTGATCAAAAGGTTTCAGTACAAATAAAAGTGCATGAAAGTATATTTTATGCTCAGCACTGATATGCTCATGCATTCTTCTTTCTCCAGTGGTGAAAATCAGCAGTGGCCAAAAAAGAGAGCATACATTGCCAGCCTTTGGGACTCTGATCCAGATGTGCTCCCAATCCTCTCTACATGAACTTAAGATTGACCTGCCTACAGCTTGACACATGTAAATTATCACAGCTCCATCTCCCCAGCTTATCTCCGGATGCATACTCCACCTGAACCATTCTTAACTTCCTCTTTTCTCATTTATCTGTCCTCTTCCGTGAACAAAAGAAGGAGCGCATGAACAAGGGAGTGGCATCGGAGAGATCAAACGGTGTGTGTGTGTGTGTGTGTTTTATGTGTGCATACCAGCAGCACAGTTTGTGTGTGTGTGAGTGAGTGAACAGCAGTTAAAGAGTAACTCCTCTGAGCAGGTGTTCAGTTCTAATGACCTCAGCCTGCTTTCTATCAAGCTGGTAACAACTTCCTGCAAGGGCAGAAACAGGCAAGGCCAAACACAGCCCAGACAGATAGACGTATCAATAGACAAGACGCAGAAGAACAAGAACAAGGGCATCCAAAGAGAAAGGCCTATCTTAGGGAGAGAAAAAAAGGATATAAAATATGAGGATGGTATATAGAAGTAAGTAAAAATGCAGAAAGTCCATTTTCTGATTACATCCATCTGACAGAGAGCTGTAAATCAACCATGTGAGGGAGGTTTGCATTTCCAAATTCCATAATTTGCTATTTTAAGAATGGATATATCCATTTAAAATAATTATTTTTTTTCTGTTGTTTGAACAAATAACACAACATAGTTCAAATTACATGCACAGAATAATAAAAAATGCAACCAAACCTAATTGTACGCAAACATAGAAGACGAAGCACCAGAACCCACTGTGCAACGGGTGGGCTGAATGCCAGATAACAGGAATATGCAACAAGGAAGAGACTTCTGAAATTTGCTTCTACAGATAAAGCTTCCTCTTGTCATCTCAGCTTTAACAAGCTGCCAATCTTTCAGTTGCGCAGAATGACAACAAACAAAAAAGGCTGGGAGGCCTATATGTCCATAAAGCTGATTTTTCAAGATGGTGGTTGTGCATATGGTTGATGACTAACAATTTGAAAACAGGGGCACTTTCATGCTCTAATCAGTTCAATAATCAATCACATTCAAAACATCTATCACATTGGTTGATCATCTAGCTTTTTTACCTGTTTTTATCAGATACCTGTAAGTTTTTAAGACAGTAACATACAGTTTCTGGACCAGAGGTGGTATATCCTACATTTTACAGTTTGTTAACAATGCTTCTCATGAAACCTAGTTCAGACAGAAAGGTGAGGGTATGACCTGTGAGTGCTGTGAATAAACACACTAACACTCTCACACAAACAGTGACACAGAAGCAAAGCCTGAGACTGGCATTCTCACTCTCTGGGAATCTAATGTACGGGGATGCATGACCAGACCTCCCAGGTGCACACACACACATACACACAGATTTACACTTGATGGATGCCAAAAGGTAAATGAACAAGCATGCACCACCAAAAATACCAACCTACTCCAAACATTAACCAAAGGAAAGAGCAGGCTGCTGTGCTGCAAAACACCAAAGTCTCAGCAGACTAGAAGGTGTCTGGGTGAGTTAATATTTGGCTTGGCAATTTATAGAACTCTGAGCTTGGTCAATCAGCTGAGACTTCCTCTTTCAGAACTCCCCTCACATTCCCTGACAGTGTGTAAGTGTGTCTTAACGTGCTGCACTCAGCCCTCTCAGTGACCTTTGATTAAAGCTGATCTCTCTTTGAATTCCATCAGCGTGCCCTAACGACAGAGAAAAACCTGCACCGTGGTTATGAATAAGTAAGCTTGCCTCACCAAACAGAAAGACCCTGGATTAACAGGGTGAATGAAGGTAGACAAAGAGGCCATAAATGCCAGAGAGTCTCATCAGATGCCTTGGTAAGCTTTGTAACATGTGAGCTAAGCGAACTCAGCACACTAAACCTTTCTCTTCTCCTGAAATTGTAAACATGCTGCAGTCACAATGAGAAACTGGAGCTGACAGCACAGTAGTCTCTCTCAGAACCAAACAAACTCCATAAAACTCCCTCCCTGCTTCTCTCCCTCCCTCCTACACATTCACAAACATACAGCCTCAAAGTAGCTTGAATCACAATGACTGGAGCAACAGATGGCTGTCAACTCACCCCCTCCACCATCTCAGCTCCACCACATCCTCTGGCCCAGCTGTCGTTTGGGGCCCCAGGCTGAGGGGACTGTGACGCCAACCTCCCTCAAACTGGGGACAGCTGCTGAGGGGTGTCCAGATTTTTTTTGCAGTGCACATAACAAACCCCTCTCTGTCCCAATACATCCTGCCCTCTGACTCATCTCTACTCTCAGACTTATCCAGTTTCTCATTATCAACCTCTTTCTCTCTTTGGGTTTCTACTTACCATCGCTCATCCTCCACCTGGATTCCTATCGACTGGAATTTGGACTGTTCCTCTGTCGGCCCCCCTTCCTCTGGGTCGACCTAAGAGGAGGGAAGAAGCTGTCAAACTGTGGTCAGAGTCTTCCTATAAAACTCTGATTGGAGCCACAGCTCGTTCACATACCTGAATCCCTATGGAGAGGCACTTGCGGAGTGCTTCTCTCTGCGCCTTGGTGTCAGCACTGACGTGTGCCACAGCAGAGGTGGTGGCTGTGGCTGTAATGGTGATGGTGCTGTTGGTGACATGCTGGCTGGCAGGGCCATGCACCTGGGCGTTAGCTGCCTCTATGGCTGCTGTCAGGGCTTTCATGCTGTCAATACTCTCTGTAGAGTTGGACAGCCCTGGCTGGGAGCTGATGCCTGTTCTCTGGCCAGAGCCCCCATCCATGTAGGCATCCTGGGCAGACTCAGTGCTGCTTTGGGCCGTGATGGATATGAAGGGTTTGGATGGGGTGGTTCGAGGTGGGACAGGTGGAGGCGTCTTTTTGTAGGTGGTGATGCATGATGACACTGCATAGAAAAAGCAAAGAAAGGATGAATTAATATGAAACCAAAAAGGTGTGTTTCCATATAGATGTGGATATCACAGTATTTAACTGTGATGTGCGGTCTCAATTTACTGCTGAACTTAGCTATGGGTGGTATTTATGGGTAGTATTTGAGCATTTTGAAAACCACATTAAGCAGAATCATCTTGTGCACACATGTCAACAACAAATGCTGTTTCTTTGTTTGCTGTGCGTGCTTCTGTCTGTCTGAGCAGTTTCACCCTGCACCTCTATGACTTTCAGTCAAGTATTCCATTTGAGCTAACGGATTGAATTATATTCAAACATATTCTTTAGAGTAAAACATTATCATGGACAATACATTTCTTTCAAATAACAAATAATTTTTATTCAAATGTAGGAATGTTTTTACAGAGATATCAAGTTCATCCAAGGACCTCAGCTCCGTGTGCTGGTGTTATAGGCACAGTAGATTAAAACCTACTTTGACAAATCAGAGCCGCATCTAGTAACAGGATTAGTACGTCAGTAACTTGACCCACTGATCTACATGGTTAAGACTTGTACACATTGAAAGTAGATGTGTTGACCAGTGTGATAGTGTTGACTAGGTTTATGGCTGTTTATGAGCTTTCCTGTCATTTACATAATTACTTAAGCACTGAAGTGAAATAATAATATAGTAGACAGCTAGAGAGAAAAAAAGTGATAGATAGATAGATAGATAGATAGATAGATAGATAGATAGATAGAT